TCCAACAGTTCTCTGTTTTAACTTATTTTTTCCTGAAAGGAGCACAGTTTAGTTTCTAAGATTTCCAGCATAAAACTCTCTCTTAGAAATGTAAGATGAAAAAAAAATAACATCGTATTGATTAGTATGTTAGCACATCTTTGCATCAGTTGGTAGCATCACGACCAAAAAACCACGAAAGTAGTGGATATTGTCTCGAATCAGAATCATACTCCTAATCAGCCCTTTAACAAACCATTGTTACCAACTTCCAGTAGTTCAAGACAAATACCGCTAATGAGAAGATAAATTGATAAACCTTCGAGTGGTTATCAAATTCGTAATCAGCATATCCTTGTCGACTTGTCGAACCCCCTTCGAAAGATTCGACAAGTCGAAAGGATATGCTGATAGGGTGACAAGGCGACACCGTCGTCGAAGCTGTTTACCGCCCCCTTGCAGTGGGTGATGAAGTCACTGGATTGGGACGAAAGAGGTATACGAGTTGATGGGAGATTCCTCTCGAACCTTTGTTTTGCGGACGGCATTGTTCCCTTTTCGAGGAATATCACCGAAGCGGAGACGATGCTGAAGAAACTAAACGAAGTAGGGAAGCAGATGGGACTGCTAATCAACCGGAAGAAGACTCAGTCCATGAAAAGCGCTTTTTGCGAAGATCAGGGAATAGAATTAGAAGGTTTTCCAATCGCGGAGACGTTTTCCTACGTATATCTCGGGCGTTCAATTGGAGAACGATCTGTAGGAGGAACTAAACGGGAGGCAAAGAGCAGCTTGGGCCGCCTTCGGACCCTTAAAGGAAGACACAGACCAGCTGACGGACCCAGAGCTCCTAGCCCACCTGTTCGATTCAACCGTTCTCCCTGCGCTCTGTTACGCAGCAGAGACGTGGCCCGACACTGTGGCTACATCGAAAACACTCCGAATAGCCCACAGAGCGCTGAAACGATGTGTTCTAAAGTTCAACCGACGCACCCAACGTCTCGTCGGATTTCGCAGTTCGGACATGAGATCAATGTCCCGTCTTCGCAATCCAGCGGAATACGTCTCTAAGGCAAAACATGGATGGGCTGGTCATATAATGAGAAGGAAGACGACAGATGGACACTAAGAACTCTGGAAGGGATCCATCGCGAAGTAAAACGTCCTCGAGGGAGGCCACCGACCAGATGGGCTGAGTGTTCGTGGCACGGATGGTAATGGATCTAGACATTGCGAACGTCGCCGCCTCAATTCAATACCGATATCGTGGACGACGCTAGCGAGAGACAGAAACGGATGGAAACATTGCTGTGGCCTGCACGACGAATGAAGACAAGGCATTTAAGTATCTAAGTAAGTAATCAGCATATCAAGTTACCCTAATACATCAACTCTTAGCCCCTCTAAACGAAAATTGCGAAAATTCGTTGAATAGATAAAATCGGTCGATGATTTTTCGAGAGATTATCAAATTCGGAATTGGCATAACAAGTTATCCCAGCATACCAACCC